TATCCAGCCGGTTTCATAATTTCATCTGAAATATAATTAGCTTTTTAAAGATGATAATGATTTAGCTAAGTTAATATGGAGTCATTAGTTTAAATTTATAAAAATCAAATGTTCAGTTTGTTTCAAAATAGAACAAAAGTAAATAAAATCTGAATAATATTGAGTAGAGTATTCAGAATTAGATATAAAGTTCTTTACATTACCTTTAAGTGCCGGAATTAAACCGATGGTTTCCCAAGTATCGGGGTCTGTCTCATTCGAAGATATCTTTTTAATAACATATTTTTCATCATCTTCCACGTCGAGTTTTATTTTCTTTGTTCCAAGGCCTGCCTTTTGCAGCACAATCTTAGTTGTGGACGATGGAATGCTTGTAGTCTGATGATCTGACAGGCATACAAACGTTCCAGTCAAGCTCCTCTTTTTGGTCTTCTTCTTCAGGGCCGTTTCTTTTCTTCTTAAGCTGAATAGTAGCGACCTTTCAGTTCTGTTGGTATTTACAACTGCACTTGATGGCTCTGTCGACGATTGTTGACAAGCTTTCCGAAGACGAACTCTGTCCCCTATCGTACCTACTCCAAGGCGTTCCAGCTCTCTGTCACTTAAAGTTATTACCACACTTTTTTCACAAACTCTTTCTCTTTCAAACTTGTCTATCAATGACCCTAAGTCGATTTCGCGAAGGATCTTTTTCAATTCTTCCATGATTTACGTGCTACTGTACTACAAAGGTGGAATTATAAGGTGAAATGGCGCGAAAACATCTCGACGACACTAAGGGATTCTGGGATAATTTCGAGCTGAGTCCTCCTCCGCCAGCTTTGACTTCAAAACACTGGTTTCTACATAATGTAACATCTCGTAACGAAGATCGTACATCATGCAACGAATTATCACTGCATGTAAAGTTAAAAGCGCTCATGATATTGTTTTAATCACTGCATATAAGGTTGAAAGCACTCATCATATCCATAATACCACTGCATACTAGTACTTGAATGAGCTTATCATATTCATATTATCACTGCATGTAAACTGAAAGCGCTTATCATAATGTTTGTATCACTGCATATAATGATGTTATCACTGCACATAATAGTTGATTCACAATCCATAACATTTACAAATCACATAAGGCAGTTATGGCGTTCCATACAGTAGCATCATCTATATTTTGATATTGCATTGTAATATAACATATAACATATTATATTAGAGCGTGATGGTGCAAAGCCTCCATTGTAACCGTACCGTGTTTTACCGTAATCGTATCGTCTAAGTGTTGTGAATGGATGAAGTGCTGCAAAACAATGTAAACTCATTTCAATGTCACGTCGTGTTGTACCATGTACGTGCTGTAAGCTATTACCGTGTGCGGTTTCCCATTCGTGAGAAAACAGTTCTCCTGTGAAGA